AGGGAGGGAGGGAGGGAGGGAGGGAGGGAGGGAGGTTGGGTAGGGAGGTTGGGTAGGGAGGGAGGGAAGGAAGTACTGGCAATTATAGAGTGTCTTCTTAGCAAGCAGGAGACCATGAGTTCAAATTCCAATGCTGTAGGGAAAAAAATAGAAATGCCAATTTTTGTTTGAATCAACAGCCAACTGTATATTATGTTTTAAAATGCTTGAGGAAATTTAAATACAGACTGGTGTTAGATAGCATGAAAATATGAAAATGTGTTGGCATGAAATGCCAAGAGTGTTAACTGAGAAAGAAAATTAGTTACAAAACAATACCTACAGCATGATCTTTCAGAAAGTGTTATACATGTTTATCAGTGACTGAATGTGCAGATATTCGGCAATGTTTTAGAGGTAAGATCTTCTGTGTGTAGAGAATATCAATGTTTAAGTAAGATGTTCTTTTGATGATTACATTTTCCAACTTCCTACAAAGCACATAAGCAACTTTCATGAAAACAAAAGGATAATTTTAATCTAAAATATGAAAGTAACTGGTTTACAAAAAGGTAAAGAATATTGTATAGTTTTATGTTTTTAATTTTGTGATCATAATTAATATGAATGTATGACAGAACCTATGTTTTAGTGGATTTAATGTCTCAAACTAAACATTATTTATTCTTTCTTTTCTTTGGCATGTTGAGTCAATTATTTGTTTGTCAATTATTATTTGTCAGTTATTATTTCTTTGCTAATTAACATTTGGTTTTGTGGTAGTTGCTATAAAAACCTTTATTTCTCTCATGCTTTATTTTATTGTTTTTCACTAAATTTCAATACATCATGAAAAATATTTCAAAAAAAATTAAAATCCCAAATATTGACTTTCTCTTCTAGGATATACAAAGCCTTTTTCAAAGCAATCACACACAAGTACTAATACAATTGTTTGGAGTATTCTCATCCAAATAAAATCTTTAGAATAAAAAGTTGTAGTGTTATAATCTAACAAGCTGCTTAATTAATTTTCTATATTTCCTCAATAATGTTGTAAGCTTTTCAGAATATATAGAATATGAAAGATAATATAACCAAACATTAAGATAGAAAAAATGAAACACAAATGTGAAAATGTTTTAAATGCATAGAATAACACCTATGTATTACATAAACTCAATTTTAAATGTTAATTCCACAGTTTATAAAATTCATAAGACAATAACATCCAGTTGATCTTTATTCTAAAAACTGGTTGCGCAGGGTGCCAGTGACTCACTTCTGTCATTCTAGTTACTCAGGAGGCTGAGATCTGAGGATCAAGTTTCAGAGCCAGCCTATGCAGGAAAGTCTGTGAGATTCTTATCTCCAAATAACCAGAAAACTAGAAGTGGTGCTGTGGCTGAAGTGGTAGAGAGCTAGCCTTGAATTTTGAAAAGCTCAGGTATAGCTGCCAGGCCCAAAGATCAAACCCCATGACTGACCAAAAAAAAAAAAACAAAAACTGGTTGCAGTTGCTCAGGAAAGTGTGTTACAAAAACATGGTTAAAGCCAGGAATGATGATGTCAGCAGCATTTCCTGCTACACGAGGGTCCAGTTGTGGCCTTATCTTCCTGGTGTTCCTAAACTTTTAAATTAAAGCCATCTCTTTTTGGAATTTAAGAGATTCAAAATTTAATTTCTATTTTTTGCAAGAAGCTAATTTCTAGTTATATCAATATTATTCTGAAAGAATGAGGACATTAGCTTATTTGTTTAAATTGCAAGCAATTAGAAAATTAGAGATGAAAATTTCTAGCCTTTGAAAAAGATTCTATGATTTAGAAATACCACAGATACCATTTAGCCACTGTGACTTACTTCTATAAGTGTATGTAATTCTATTTTTCTACAAAAAAAATCATACATTTTTTAGGAGTCAAATGGATTTTTTTTTCATTTGAGAGCTGTCAACCTTTAGTTGCTTCAGCAAATATGCATTGTTAGGCTTTGTCATATTTGTGGATATTTTGAAACTGAGTTCTGAACCATTGAATTTTAATATCTTTAATTTAAGAAGCATATTTAGATGTATCAAAACTTTGGCAGTGAAATCCCTGCTTGCAGTCTAATAATTCTAATAATACATAAGAAAACTGGGATATGGTTGAAGTAGGACACTGATCTCTTTTATTAATGAGGAAGAAAATCACTCCTGACTCTGGTATTAGTTTAGCATTTTCCTTTGACATTTAGAGTGCAAAGGAAGAACTTATCTTTAACTTTCACCTATGACTATTAGTTTCCATTGATGCTTGGTACATGAGGCTGGTATTTCCTTTTTCTGTTTTAAAGAAAAAGCAGAGCAACACCACACTTGGAGTTATGAACAGACTGTGGAATAAGAATCGTCCTCAAAGTCATCAGATAATGTTCTCAATGCAATGCGAATGTGGAAAAAATCAGAAACAGAGCTAAGAGCTTGCCTGCCATACCTCTCAGTGATCAGAATCTCTAAACTGCTTAAAAGATTGCTCTTCATCATTGAAGGATCATTTTAATATCTCCATGTTGTTAAACTCTAGTAGAAATAAAAAAATGATAAACATTTCAACATTGTCTTAAAATACATGGGCAGTATTGTGGAGACACAGTGAATAATAGAAAGGGTAAGTGTTCACAAATCAATTATTTGTATTAAGCTAGCAATTAATTCACCTGAATATAAAATGTAAATGACTGTCTTAGGTGTGAAACATTGGTTTATTAACTTGAATGTGCTGACAGGTTAAATAACACACAAACACTGGTAAATATGCTGCATTTTACACCCTAGTATCTACAGCATACATTTTGGCTGTCTCTGTCCGTGGAGCTATGTAGGACTTGGCCTTAGACATAGCTGTAGTAGAATAGGGTGCTCTCATGGAGTAAGGATAGTTTCTCTCAGGACCAACATCTGGACAAGGAAAGAAACATGAAGAGAAATAAGTATGACTCAGTAAACCTTAGAAAATGAAAACGTGATGCCATCTTATAGGCTCATCCACCAAAAGGAGAGCATATATATTATATATATGTTTTTATAGTAGAAGCTATTTGGGAATCCTACAAAAAATACTACAAGAAAATTGAAATTTTTCATTCTAAAAGCTATTTGGAGATTTCAAGTTGAACCAGGACTTTGTATTTTTGTTTTCCCAGTGAGGAGAAAGAACTTTTCTCATTTCTTATTTTTTTTTAAACTTGCAGTGATTGTACAAAGGGGTTTCAGTTTATGAGTACCATGCATCTTGATCAATGTCACCCCTTCTATTTTTTCCCTCATCTCTCCCAACCTCACCCATCCCCTCATTTACACAGATGTACACTAATTGTTTAAGTAAGAATTTTCAGACCCCAATATAGCACATTAAATTCTTTAACAACATGTGCTAAAATCTCAGTCAACTTTAAGTAGATTTGATAAAGTTAGATGCATAGGAGAGATCATAATGCATCAAAATACCATTATACATCTGAGCTGGGCCAAGTCGCTCACACTTGTAATTCTAGCTAATCAGAAGGCAGAGATCTGAGGATGGCAGGAAAGTCTGAGAGTCTTATCTTCAAATAACCAGCAAAAAGCCAAGAAGTGAAGCTGTGGTTCAAATGGTAGAGGACTAGCCTTCAATGAAAAAGCAAAAGACAGCTCCCAGGTCCTGAGTTCAAGCCCTAGTACTGACGCTAATATACACACAGTGGGTGTATACATATATATGTATATATATGAATATTAGACACAATGATATCTGTGTGTTTTACTTTTCAACTGATAAACTACTATTGGGTAGAAAGACTTGAGTGCTGCAACTTGGTTGTCTTTGAATAATTAGAATGTTTCTTGGCAAAAGGTAAACATTACTTGTTGCTGTGAGATAAATTTCCATTCGATTGGGAAGGATGGTAGTTGAGGAAAGGAAGTATCTGATCTTACGTTGTTCTTACCTTTAAAGAGGTAGAAGCAGCAAGTAAGGAAAGTTCCAGCCACAAAGCAACCCAGTGACCCAGCCATTCCAAGCCAACAAGACCAACCAAATTTATATTGTATGCCAAGGAATATATTGTGCAGAATCAGAGAAGAGCGTTCCACATATACATCAACAGCATACCACACAGAGCCAATGATTCCTGGGGCACCTGAAACAAAGGGAGGATTCTACAATTCATAGGAGGCACTTTCTAAATTCAACACAAAAGAGATCTGCATGGTACTCATAATGTGTGGAGTCATTTAGAGAGGTCACAAGTGTATCATGTCTTCATGGGATTTTTAGATTTGGGGTAGGTTTTCTATCCTTTGTGTTTCACTTTCCATTTTGTAGATCTTGCAAATTGTATCTCAGTTTATAAAAGGAACACAAGAATGGACGCACCACAGTGTTCATCTGTTTGTGTAAACTTGAAATGATCATTGCAATTTTCTTATTTTCCCAGTACTATCTTGGTACAGACATGCATCATTTAACAACGACGATATACTCAGAGCAATGTGTCTGTAAGTTATTTTATCAATGTATGAATGGAGTTTTGATATACAAACTGAGAAGAGACAACTGACTTGACATCAATGATATATGGTATTGGTATATATGTGAGGCACAGTCCATTGCTCTAGGGCGATGATGAACAGAGCACCCTGAAGTTAAATCAATCACACACAAAAAAAATGTAATGAAGAGATGTGTCTTGTAACCACAAGTACAAGGCAGCTGCTGGTATAACACAGAAAATTATTGTAAATTTATTTTTCTAGTACTGGGACTTGAACTCAGGGCCCTTGCACTCACTCTGCTTGCTTGCTCATAGCTGGCACTTTACTAACTGGGCCAAACCTCCTGATTACTTTTTTGCTGGTTAATTGGAGATAGAGTCTCTCAGACCTTTCTACCCAAATTAGTTTCGAACTTCAATTCTCAGACCTCAGACTCCTGAGTAGATAGGATGAAAGTGAGCCACTGGTGTATGGCAACTTTTATTTTCATAAGTATATGGGGCACATTGCAAAATAATTGATGAGGAGTGTACTATAATAAATGTGCGATCCTGTAACCATTGCTTATCTTCATCAAGTATCACATATGAAATACTTCTATACAACTAGCAAAGACCATAAATTTACACCAGCCTCAGCACTAACACATGAAAAATGACTTGCACTAAGGTATTTCAACAGCTACATCAATAGGCAACAATAATATATCAGCTCCATTATAAGATTATAAGGCTACATCATATAGGTTATCTGTGCTTGATCAAAATGATTTCATGTAGCTCATGAGAGGAAACTATCAAAAACAAAAGGAAGAAGTCACAAAGAAGATGCAGTAAAAAAACACATAAAATAGAGTATAAGTCCATTTTATATAGTATGTTTTTATGCATTTGTGCCACCACTGGGGCTTGAACTCAGGGCTTGGAGCTCTCATTTGGCTTTTTCGCCCATGCCTGGTGTCCTGCTACTTGGAGCTTTTTACTGGTTAATTGGAAATAAGATTTTCATAGACTTTCCTGTCTAGGCTGGCTTTGAACCCTGACTCTCAAATCTCAGCCTCTTGATTAGGATACATGTGTGAACCACACCCAGATCATTCTATTGCTTCTCAGACTCATGACTGAAGCTTTCCAGCCCTATAATTAGCACCCTTAGATAATCCACTTTAAAAATCTTTCCTTCTGCTGAGCAGATTACAGGCTCATGCCTGTAATCCTAGCTACTCAGGAGGCTGAGATCTGAGGAACACGGTTCAAAGCCAGCCCAGGCAGGAAAGCCCATGAGACTCTTATCCCCAATAAATCACTCAGAAAACTGGAAGTGGCATTGTAGGTCAAGTGACAGAGCTCTCACCTTGAGCTGAAGAGCAGAAGGACAGTGCCCAAGCCCATGGTTCAAGCCCCACAATTACACACACACACACACACACACACACACACACACACACACATCTTTCCTCTTGTGTACTAGGTCAGAACCAAATTACTAAGGAAGAATTGTCTTTGTTGCCTTTGTTTTCAGACAAATCCTTATACTCCAACACCATATGAGAATGAAACAAGAAATATCTTCCCTTTAAATTTAAGTTAATCTCCACAATTTAGCCTCTGCAATTAAATGTTTCAAGTGATACTCATGATACTTTATTTTAGTGATGTAAGTTATATGTCAAGGCTCAAATGGAAGAAAGAGTTTAGGAGATAAAAAACCTATAGTAGGCTCTGTAGCCTACCAAAAAGCTCGACATTTCTGTCTCTGGGGGAATCTGTGATATCTGTTAAAAATCACAATTTGATTTTCTTTTTCTATTTATTCCAAGCAAGTAGTTGAAGAGAACAAGTCAGGAAATAGACTTCTACCATATTCACACAAGGTATGCATTAACATATATTTCCTATGGTACTGCACTGCGCTCATAGGCTAATTGGGGAATGCTTTTAGTTCTTTTTCCTTTTAAAAAAAAAAAAAACTGTGCTAGTACTTGAAGTCTTGAGCCATGTCACTAACCTGGAAGCTTTTTTTCCCCTTTTTTGTCTTGTTCTTTGGAGATGGAGTATAGCAAATTTTTCTGCCCTGGCTGCCCTCAAACTTTGATCTTTTAAATCTCAACTCTTGAGTAGTTTGAATTACAGATATGAGCCAATAGCACCTAGTTGAGAATGGCTTTTTCAAATTTCAAAAGAGATTAGAAATTTTAAATACACACACACACACATACATACATACATACATATATACCTCATATATGTATCACTGTCTTTCTAAATAATATTTTCTTTTTTTTTTTTGGGTGGCTCAGTGGTAGAGCGCTTGCCTTGCATGCCAGAAGCCCTGGGTTCGATTCCTCAGCACCACATAAGCAAAATGAAAAAAAGCTGGAAGTGGCGCTGTGGCTCAAGTGGTAGAGCGATAGCCTTGAGCTGAAGAGCTGAGAGGGACAGCGCCCAAGCCCAAAGTTCAAGCCCCATGACCAACAACAACAACAACAACAAAAATGTGTGATATCTTGTGAGGCCTCAAAGTGTGTTCTTAAACAAAATTGAATAGCCTCAAAAAATGCTTAAGTTTTCTAAATAAAACCCACTGTTATGTACAAAACCTGTACCAGTCAGCTGGTAGAAAAAATAATGTAATAAATAAATTGCTGAATTATTATTACTTATCAATACAATTTGAGGATTATTAGGACCTTAATGTTTCTGCATTAAAAATTACAAAAACAGGTAGATAACATTCTGAATGAGTAAAGGCTAGTTCTTCTCCTTGGAGTTTGCTCTGCCCACACCAAATTTTTATAGCAGCAATCCAAGATATATATTATTGTTCACAATTTTATTGTAGTTTCAAGTCTATACATCCAAAAGTGAGAGAAAGTTGAAGATATCATAATATCATATACATATGTGGACAGACATAGATAAATAGACAGACAGATAATCTCCAAGTACTTTTATTTCCAGAATTGCCTAGCCAGCTAGTCATTTATACCATAAAATAATACGGTTTCCTCTCTGGAGCCATCACCTTTTGCTTTTTACTCTTCCTATATATGTTTTTGATTTTTGAGCAGTATAACTTGCAATAAAACCTAAAATATCTTTTTTTCTATTTCCTTAACAAACACCATATAAAGACTTCTTGATCTGTTAAAATTTAGATAATAATACAATTTATTTCATTGTCATGTTTATGATCCAATAAATTAGCATATAAAAAACTTAATTTCAGACTTGGTCAATTCAATCCATTGCTTTAAAAAAAATGGTAAATGTCCAAGCAAGGAGATCACAGATTAGGGTTTACTTTGGAACTTAAAGTCAGGAATAATTACAAAATAAATGACTTTAAAAATTAAAGGATTATATAACTTTCTGACTGACTGAAAGATAGTTCCAGAACTTTAACATACCTAAATCTGGGAGATTACCAAAGACTATCTGTTTCCAAAGGAGAAAGTCGGGCTAGTAGATATGTTGTTTTGTTTTGTTTATTTTTTCCTTCAATCAAGGAAAGCAAGTCTTATAGGATGATCAAAGGAGCAGCATCAATTCAAGTCAAGACCTTCAGAGAGTACCTTACTCTATGGTCAGTCATCCCTCTTGCCAATCCCAACCAGTACCTGCTATTAATAATGTGGTCCCAGCAACAAAGCAGATACGGACTTTAGTGTATGGCTCATCAGGGAGGAATTTCACACAATCCAGTCCAAGGAGCAAGGTGATAAATCCAAATCCAGCCAGAATATCTGCAGTAATCATCAATGCTCGAGTTACCACAAGCTTCACTAGATGATCGCCCAGCCAGGACATGTGGTTATAAGAGAGTCAAGGGAAAGAGACAAGTTAGCTCACAGAGGTACACCAAACCCCAGTGGAGCATGTACATTCACTGAAGCCTACAAATAGATTCTAAAGTTACATTTACATAAACAGGAACAGGAATGCCCTTTCTTCATAAAATTTAAAAAATATTATGAAATTGTTTTCCTTACGTGTTTAAATACTAATGATCTCTTAATTTTATTAACATTTTCACTAGATAATATACTAATAGACATGGGGATAGATATATATCAATATAGTAGATATTGGGACATATGCATGCATATACATATACACATATCTATACATGCACACACAGACACACACACATATGCACTTTCTATTTACATACATTAATTTATTTAATATATTTATACACACTCTATAATTTGTTTCCTGTTCTGGTAAATTCTAGCCAAATACTGAATTGAAGATGGAATATCTGTAGGTACTTAATAAATATCTGAAATATCTTAATTTCATTAAAAATTTAAAGTAATTGGTTAAACTTTTGCACATGCCTGTAGGGTAAATACTTTAAGGCTCCTATTATGACTTCAGGTTGCTAGGAATCTCAGAAGGAGAAAAGTCATTTCTGCTGTAAATAACAAACCATTTTTGGAATTCAAACCAACTTCTCTAAGCTCCAGAGACGGTAATTCTTCTTGGCTAACACTCTGTATCAACTCTTTAGCTCTGCATTGCTATTTTAAAGCTACAGTCAAAAACAGATCGCTATATACAAGTAGGCTTCCTACACAGTGCTCCAGGCCAATGAGTATTTTGGTGTGCCTCTGTTGAAGTTTTCTCCTTGAAGTCTTCTGGTCCCTTGATGGAATCTGAGACCACCAAGGGCAGTGCATCAGGTTCAGGCAATCTGAATGTATTCAGATCCTCAAGACCCCTGGTTTTCCCTTCCTGTTGGCCTGTGTTGCTCTCTTTCTCACAAACAGGTCTCTCTGGAGATGCAGACTTGTGCCTGTGGGGTGGTCCAAGGGTCCCAAAGTCAGTCTGTACCCTGTGAGCAGACTGTTGAGAATGGCTGATGAATAATTTCTTAATTTGGCATTATTAGATTGAGCTATCAGAATGGACTGTGTATGTTAATTTAGAGGAGGTGAACTCAAATTATTTTTATCAACAGGAGTCCTAGAAAACAAATATTCATCAGGAGCCACACATCCTATATGTACAGAGCCTAAGAAGGGTTATCTAACTGTAACTGTATGAAAATTCTACTTCTTCACAGGTACATCCACACCTGGTATACATTTTTATCCCTATTGTCTTAAAATGCACTTAAAAAACAATCAATTTTTAGTATACCATTCGAAAATAATAGGTAAGCATAAAAGAAAAATGTAAGGTAACATCGATGAAATATTTTTTTAAAAGAACTGACTAAACTATAAACACTGGTTTTCTTTGTAGTGAGCTTGTGAATGATTTCATTTTCTTCTTGCATGAATGTACAAGGTAGTATTGTTTAATCTTTTGTTTTTTCTTCTCATCTCTGGTAGTGCAATGAAATTCTGGAATTGGCTGAGTGCTCAACATGATTTTCCATTCTTCCTTTCAAGATCTACTTTTTAAAAGGTAGAATATGTTTTCCGTACTTAACTCCTAAATACCAGTCAAAGATACTTTAGAGTATTGTTCTGTTCAGTGTGTTTCCTTGGATGGAGATCTTATCCAGGGAAAAAGGTTACACTCCAAAGGTTTACTCTGCATTTATTATATGTACATGTGTATGTATGTATTATGTGCACATGCATGTAAGTACGGATGCATGCCTGTATGTGTGCATGTAAGCATGCTGCCATGTGGTGCCATCACCCATCATTTGCTTTGAAAGGGACTAAAACCACTTTGCTTCTATAAAATGACTGGTCTAATTTCTTGGCATGATTCAATGGGCTAAGTAAATGAGTAAATGATGTAAATAAATTTTGAGAGAATCAAGGATGGGAGTTTTAATTTAAGGGATCACTTCATTCAAAGAAATAAGTAGGATTAGAAGCTACCAGCAGGGCAGATGAAAGGGCCAATGTCAGTGTCACTGCTTACTATATCATGTGAGTTGGTGTTTCATCTACGGACTCCATATTCTGGGTTTTTCTTTGTCTCTATCTCTGCCCTTTCTATCTCCACTTCTCTTTCTCTTAGACATCTTCTGGCAAACTTTCTATATGAGTGAAGACATAGCTGAAAACCATCTCTAGTATGTCATCCATCTAATTTGTCAAACGTGTCATCTAACTCCAATGATAAAAATCACAATATCCAAACAATGTGTTTCAACTAAAGAATCATTTACTATAAGCTTACTCACGTTCTTTGGAAGATAGCAGCTATGACAATGTTTTTGCCCTTCTAGGATTTACAAATATATGGGAAAAGGTAACAGATGCTAAAATAATGTTTCAATTCACATTTCAAAAAGAAACTCAATTTCTAATGGAAGCAGTTCAAGTTGAATAGAACCTTAACATAGTTCTATGGAATAAAAAAACAATGCAGCATGAAAGTCTGAGTCCAGTTACTCTCAGTGTGACCCTCCTGTCAAGCAGGAAGGGGTAAGGTATACATACAGGGGTGTTCCGCGTATATGGAGTCATACTCATCGCAGGTTCGAATCCCATCGAAAGCATTGGTGACACACTCCCACCAAAGGCCTCGGCATTTTGTGCTCACCTAGATTTTGGAGAAGATACTATGTGAGACAAGTCATGCACTCGCTTCAATTCTCCTTGATGAAAGACAACCTTGGCTGTCATGTTTGATAGGAAAGCACAGTGGTTACAATCGTGATCTAATCCCTTGCAACAAATAATGCATGTGAGAATATTTTCCCTTAAGCACTTCGTAAACTAGGAGATGAATCTGCTTCCTGATTGAAAGAGGCGTGTAAGGAGATAAGTCATGGCTAAGAGGGATGAGAGCTAAATTCGCCCAAATATCTGTGTCTACTTCCATCACTGCATCATGGTTTAATGTGGAGACAATTATTTCCCTTCTCTGTGCTGACATTTACTCATAAGTAAATCTATACAACACCAGATGATTACTGTTTATGCCTTGAATCTATTAGGAATATGCACTAATTTTTCTTCATAATGAACAGTGAATTCCATGAAGAAGTGTATTGTTTTAGATGGGGCTCATAAATTTAATATTAGCAAAGAAAGCCAATAAATGATAAGGCAGCAACAAATGACTGAAAGTCCCATATTCTTCCTCCCTTCTCTACTAACATATTACAAATGCTAAAGCCATGGAGGTATGTAAACAAATGGAGGATTAATTTCATTCAGTTTGACAGCTGTGAACCGCTTTCACTAGGAAATAATTTGCAGATGACACACGTCCACTTAGTGCTAAACTCACCAATGCCCTACTTCTTCTCCTACTTTATCCATGAGCAGTAAGTCACGGTGCGTTTTCTGTAATTGTAAACATGCCAACAGAAAAGCAGTTTCAAGTATTCTTGACAGAGCTCATGTATATGCAACAAACCAAACATGATCACTTCTTCAGACTCAATTTCAGATTCACATTACTTTGGAAATCTGGAAATAGTGAAGTCTGAGAAATACCCTGGAAAATGAAAAACACATTTTTTTCCCCAAGAAAAAGTTTACCAACAGAGCAGGATGGGAAGAGAAATAAAAGAAAGGGGTGTTACAAGAAACGCAGAGACAGGAAGGTTTAAAAAAAAACCACTTTGCAAGAGAAGTCACTTAAGGAATGCATAGATTACGCAACTCTCAGCCTTACATTTGCCTTGAAGCTTTGTGGCCAAGTAAAACTCTAATGCTTACAAAGCCCATCATAATTGGAATGTGATATCTTCTTTATTGTTTTATGAGAAATACTTAACTTGGTGGTAACTAATGATAAGTTGATTCTATACTTTGAAGTGGTCACTATTGAAGCATATTATTGTTATCCATTTTACAAATAAAGAAATTAAGGTGCAGGAAAAAAAAGCCATGTTAAACACATGGAAAAGACAGGTCTTCAACACAGCAGCAGGGTGTAGGACTCTAAGATAGTGACACCTATCTTTGTTAAGATGCTCACAAGTCAAGAAAGGCCTCCAACTAATGGAAGCCCAAAGAGTCTCTCAAATTCTCCACAGAGAATTTGCTTCCAAGGCTGGGAAACCAAGACCTTGATTTTAAATTTCTGGCCTCTAGAACTCGGCTCATCCACTTAGTCTAAGAGAATTTTTTACTGTAGCCCCAGGAAATGAATATGGTACAAACAGTTTGTATGGAACTCCTATATCACAGATGAAACAGACCGTCTCAGAGTGCACTGTCCTCAGTTTCCTCTGTAACCATTATATTGGATGCGGTTCACCCTAACTTAAGCTACATAATGTAAAACTATTGTTCTACCATCACACAATGATTGTCCATAACTTCCTCCTGTCTAAACCAGCCACTAAAATATCCCTGGTATATGTGGTCATGATATATGCTATTACTTAGAATCTGAGGTGTGTATGCAAAACTTATTTTTTACACTAATAAGAGTATTCCTCTCTTGCTCGAAACAAACCAGTAGTGTTGTCAATTTCCAGGCTATTGATCATTTACTTACAATGACCATATTTAGAGAAGCAATGAGCTCATTAGAAAAAACAGGGAATTCTATTTCATTAGGTATTAATGCTCAGGGGCATACTATCAAATGCTTGGTATTCACCCTCAGTTAAGGTACGTGAGAATAGTGGCTGTAATTAAGTAAACTTAGGTGTTAATATAGCACTTACTGGTGACACCCTTAAAGGTGCCTTTGTGCACAAAACACAAGGTTAAAAGATTTTATATTCTTTATCATATTAAGGAGAGCTGTGCTTGCTATAATATACAATACTTGGTTCACCTAAACTTCTGTTTTAAAATGGCTTCTTAGCAACTCTCTAAAAGAAAAGCAAATGTAAATTCTTTAGGTTTTAATACAACATTCTTAAAAAGCAGACAACTACTTAAAATATTATGGTTAACCTTTCTGAAAGGGCAAAAAAATTACAAAATGTTAACTACTATTTTTTTATTCATTTAAAATAGAGGATTCCAATTTCAATCTTTCTCCTTTTAACATGAAACTAGTACATTTACCAAGAGTATAGGAAGGAATACTGAAGGAATCTGTATTTTGATGCATATCTATGGATACAAGCAGTAGATTGTCTCTTACTTGAGAAGCCTAAGGTCTGACATTAAAGGAGAAAACACACACCATGTCAGCATAAGTCTCCTTTATTGCTTGCCAATCCTTCAGATGGAGAAATGTTATAGGACTGTCCACACTTCTGTCTTCCCTGGCAAATGTAGTCAATCTGTTCACCTAGACTCCCCAACCCTACATAGCATCAAGGAAGTGGCTGCTCCCATTTTTTTTGGGGGGTGGATGGTATGCCCACCAGATTCCCACAATTCTTATGCTCTCTGCGTTGCTCAAGTGCATTGGCTACCTAGATCCTCAAGGCATTTTAATTTCTGCCTTCTGGTATATAATATTAAGAATGACTACTCCTGCTCTCAACCTGCCAAAATTTTACTTCTTCCACAAGGTGAGCTTAATCCTTTCCATCTGGAATCAATGTCTTCATACTCTGAAATACCGCAATAATGTGCTCATATGCTTCTACTATTCATTATAACACACTGTGTAGTGTATATGCATTATTGTCTCAATCAGTTTGTCATTTTTCCAAACTGTATTCATTGAATTCCTGTTGTGCACTAGTGAACATGCCAACCAAATACTGGAAATGAAACAACCAACCCAGGCAAGGAAACTTGCTTCAAGGTTCTCTCCTCCTTGCTTAACAGATGCTTATTGAAGAGATCCACATAAATGCATATTACTCTCATTGGATATATGGAGTAGAAAATCATTACCCTGAACAACATCTGCACAGTTGCTGCTTCCTATGTGATTTTAATTGCACTAAACTAAAACAATTAAATTCAGGAGACAAGAGAACTGCTAAGTTTATACTGACTTGGAATCATCTTGGAACATGTTTAATCAAGTCATTCTATACAGTGATTCCCAAGTACTATGGATGAGAAGGAAAACACTTGAAAAGTTTTAGGAAGTGATGTTGAGGACCACACTTGTCCACTGGGTTACGGTGTTGTAAATTAGTTCTATACTTCTAAAATGATCTATTCTGAGCTCTCTAGCTCTCTCCCATAAAGACAGATTTATCCTATAGAACCAGAGTCCTCTAGGTTATAGGGAACATGCCACCAGGCACAGAAAGATGAGTACTCCATGAGATCTCAAGAGACAAGTATTCCTTTCTTTCCTCACTCTTAGACAAGTATTCCTTTCTTTCCTCACTCTTATGGAGACTAAAACAACTGGTCTTGTAAATGGTGAGGGTTGAATAGTGGTTATCTTGAAACTAGGAGATGAGCCAGATGAGGGATAGATAGGATGGGAGATGGGGAGATGTTTATTCATGAACACTAACTCAGAGCTAGGTAAGAGCAAGGGCTTCTGCCATGCTACTTTGCAACAGTGACTATAAATAATGATAATGTGTGATGAGTTTTGAATGTTTCATCATAAAAAAACTGATAAATATTCGAGGGCATAGCTATATTTAACCTGGTTAAAACCTTACATAATGTACACTTGTACTGAAACATCAATAAGTGTATTTTAGAGTTTTCGAACTATTTAAATATACCTTTAGGGAAAGGAATGTGGCTTAGTAGTAGAGTGCTTGCCTAGCATACCTGAGGTTCTGGGTTCACTTCTTTGGTACCATATAAACATAAAAAAATAAATAAATTTATATTTTCTATTTAAATTTAAATATAAATTAAATAAAATCTAAGTTTATATAAAAGATTTTTGTGAGGTCTTGTTTGTCCATCTCTTTTTCCTTCATCCCTCCTGAAATGTAAGTGACAATACATAATTTTCCCTGATTTGTCTTTTTATATACTAGGCTTGGTAAATGTTTATTGTTGGTTATTCATTATTACACAAAATCTTTATTTGCCAGTATTCATCAGATCAAACAATGAATGGATAAACTGTGCTGGTATCTTATGCTTGTAATCCTAGCTACAGGGGAAGCCAAGACCAAGGATTATGTTTCGAAACCAGCCTAGGCAGGAAAGTTCATGAGACTCTGATCTCCAGTTAATCACCAAAAATCCAGAAATGGAGCTGTGGCTTAAGTGTGAGCAAAACAGCTGAGGCACAGCACCTAAGCCCTGAGTTCAAGCCCCACAGAATGAATAATGAAAAAAAGACAAAAGTCAAACATAATAAGCCAGTAGGACATATATCATAAAACAACCTTACATATAGTAGTGTTTCTTATTTTCATATTACTTTATTGTTCTTTTGCTGCTGAGGTTTATCATTGAAGGCAAGACTTACTTAAATGCATTTATCAAGACATAAATGTTTTTATAATGTTTTGTAAGTAATTCAAATGCATTTGAATTTTTTGAAGTAAGATTCTGAACTTTTTACTTTTATATGGTATTGTTTTTACTATCTCACAACATAAAGTAACTCAATGTAGGATATACCTTTGTTAGAGAGCAAGACTGAAATAATCATGACTAACATTGCCTTATAAAATATAAAAGAAAATCATGAGTTTATTTGTTGAAAAGTATCCTTTATAGTTATATTTTTGTATTTTCTGA